TACAAATGTTACATTTAAAAATTGCACAAAACGAACGTTTTTTAAAACGATATTTTCCAATCAAAAAGAGTATTAACATAAATATATTTTTATGTTTAAGAATTAAACAGATAATACTAGTAATATATATGGTTACATAATAAATCAATGATATTTTATGTTTATAGACCACTAATACTTTTAAAACGGCTCTTAAGAAAAATTGAATTTTAACACTACAACTAACAGATTCTATTTTGATGATCTTTAATATTTGTTATTTATTGAAGATTTTAATTTTCGTGCAGCTTGAAGATACGTGATTTCTTTTTTAGAGCATGTATATTATATATCGATTAAGATTAGTTATAAATTATACTTTATATAGTTGCCAGATAACAAAACAATTATGTAATAGCATACAGTCATAAAGAAAATTGTTAAATGTAAGTTTATGTATTAAATGTCTAGTCGTTACTTAATGTTTCCTAGTCAAATTTTGTATTTTATTGAATATGCAATAATTTACACTTTACAGATGCCGTTATAAATTTTTATTGCACACAATTTAAAGTTTATATATTTATCATATCATTTATATATTTATCATATCTTATAAATATTTATACATGTTGTATTATATTTGTTATAACATTTTATAAACAGTTTACTAATAAGAAACACTGATTATTAATATTTAATCTATTTTATTAGCTAACAATAAATCTGAGTATTTTATTTTATAGAACAAGTACAAAGTATTATTGTCAAAACTGATAATTAATTACATCAATAATAGCTTTGTACTAATGCAGTAGAAAGTATTAATAAATACGAATTAATTATATGTAGTGATTGAACGTGTAATATGAAATCTGTGTAATATATATATTATGTAAAATGTGCTTAAACTATAAAAATTTATAATAATAACAAGAGACTATCTGTTTTAGTTATGTAATGTATTAGTTTTCTTTATATTTGTTTATAAATTAGTTTACGCAAACAATGAAAATGTGAAATGGAATTTTTAAAATAGCAGCGGCTATTCTGTCCATCGTATGTAAATCAAAAGGAATATACAAATATTAAGATGTATTATAAATAATGTAAATTCAAATCAATTCTGTATTTTAAAAAATACAAAAAGAAAATACATTTTACAAAATTAATACAGCAGAATAATCAGACAAAATGCAATGTATATGATATATTGTCCCTCAAAAGAATTTTAATAGAAACAAAATTTGAAACGCACATATGCTCATTTTCAAATTGAGCAATAAATTTGATATGACAAATTTATGTAAAATTAATATACGAGTTGTGATTAACACATTAATTGGAAATAAAATTTTTACAAATTGTAATTATATCAAAATATATAATCTTGATAGACAAATATTCTACGTGAGAAATCTACAATAGTATTACGTATTATAAGTATAGATTTGTAATTATATAATAATATTATTATACAAAACTATTTTTGATAATTATTTGCGTACATTCAATGAACATTGAAAAAATTTTATTGATATTTCTGTTCACAGAATAAATATAAAACAGAATATTAAAAAACATCCATTTTATTTATTTACATTCATTTCAATAAGAAAAATATAACAGTATAAAGTAATGAACAAATATCTTATAAAGTCATAAAAATTTGACATATAATTTGATGTATAATATAAACGCAATAAATTAATATTTAAAAAATCTAAGAATTTTTTTTCTATTTCTTTAAAATACATATATTTTAATTTATGTAATTGCATCATCAAAGATATTGCAAATATATTGTTTATTTTTAAACTTCTATCAATAATTATAAATGAATGATTATGAATTGTGTAAAGCATTCAAAACACTTCCTGTTTTGAAAAAAGTTATAATTCATGTTTAATAAATGTGTGACATATTTTTTTTAATTATTGCACGAATTATTTCTTTTAATTCATTATCAATCTCCAATGGTTCCTCCATTTGTATGTTGATCTCTTCCACTTTCTATTATGTTCTCATCCGTAATTCCTGTATTTCCTGCTTTGCTATTTTCTACATAAGTTATAACAAAAATAAAATACTTTAAATTTTTCATATCTTATTGTATATAGCAGTAATAATCATGTATGATTCTATTTCAGTAAATATTTACCAAGCTCTGGATTGTCTTCTATCCCTCCATTTGAATCATTATTCTTTTGATTCTTTGGACTTGTTTGAGCTGAAAGTCATGTAAACTAAGTTATTATATTAACATAAAATAATAAAAGCATTTATGACAATTTGTAACCACATTTCATTTTACAAAAAGTTTTAATAATCCCTATATTAGTGAATCCTCACCAATTAGTTACACATGTATATTAGTAACAATGTTTTATGATGCATACTAAATCTAAACAATAAATGAAATTATTGTACTATATATTTGAAATCTTTAACATTGATATAGTTTTTATTTCTTAATATCTTAATATATAATACAAAGAATAAAATTTTTTATTAAATATTACATAAATTATATAATATTACATAAATAAACATAACTAAGTAAACTAAATCTCTATATTCTTTAATAATTTACAATAGAAACGAAAATGATATTATAATTTAAAATCTAATCTACAATCCTTTCATTGTTGATGTTCAATTTAATGCTTTTACTTTATATTATACATGAAAATTTAATTATTCACACATATTCATATCTTAAACCATTCTATGAGTTAAATATATGAGCAATGCAATATACTTATTAAAAAGCCATTTGATTCAAATCTGATAATAGAATCAATCAATCAATGCATCAAGTATATAATGATTTTATATACACAATTATTGAATAGTGCTATTTTATTAGACTGTTTTTACAGTCTTCTTTTCTCCTGAGGTAGGAGAAAAGTATCACTACCTTTCAGGTTTGTAACAGAGAAGCGAGGACTTAGGCGCACAGCGCCAGGTGGGTCTTTTGGAAGAATTGGAATTCCATGATATTTCAAACCACGCTGACCAGCTAAGGATATTGTTACAGCTGATTCCGGAACAGTACCCAACTGTATCTTGTTAATTACTTCTCTTGCAGCTAAATTGGCAAACCGCCAGAATATCACATAATGCTAAGTCAATTGATAATATGCAAAAATTAAATAAAAGGGAAGCTGCATTAATGCTTCTATTAACATTATGAACATATTAGAATAATTTAGAGAGTTATTAGAAAAATGTGTTTTGGGAGAAGCAAATGAAAAGTAATTCAAAACAAATATTTAAATTATTTTGATTTTAACTTGACTTCATACATACGTGATATCAAATAAGAAAAAATATAAAATAAAAGTTAAAGAATGTATAAAATGCAACTTACGTTGTAAGAGAGATATAGTTTTCTTTTGAGGATTTAGATTGCACGTAAGTTTAATTTTATCCTTTAGCTAAAAATATTGAATATATTTATTAAAAATGTTGTAAAATTTCAGAATTTTTTATAATTAATTTTATACCTGCTCTATTTCTTCCTGCAACTTTTTATTTTCATCTCTTTTTACATCTAATTGTGTATTAATGGTATTTTTTTCAAGTCTTAACGTTTCCAATGTTGCAGTTTTAGTAGCATCTAATTTGTTCAATGATTCCAATTCACTTTTGCATACATTAATAGAATCTTCCAATTCATCATTTTTCTTCTTCAACTCAGCTTGCTGTTCCAAACGTACATGAAGTGAGTTTACTTCATCCTCTGCATGCTTGTATCTTTGTTGCAAAGTTCCACGTAATGTAACACATTGATCTCTCTCTTCAGCACTGAAATGTAATTTTAATACAAACATTAACACAGTCCACCATAACACAAACATATAGTATTAGAGACTTTTGTCAGTTGTTCAATCAAAATGAATAAAGAAGCAATATGTTTTCCAAACTTCAAGGTAATGAAAAAGTATATAATGTAAAAGTATATTGCAAAAGTATATAATATGAACATTCTTATTATAAATAAAAATCGAACTTCGAAAAATGCTGAAGAACAAAATACACGTAACTGGCAAAACATAATGCATTGGCTCGTGTTTCGTAAATTGTTTCGTAAAATGGTACCTAATTTTAAGCTGTTCGTTTAATTCATCGAACTGTCTAAGTAATTCAATATTTTCAGAAGACAACGTCCACCAGTTGCAAATTAGCATTAAACAAGCAGCAAGAAGCCCGGCGACGAGGAGGGGAGGACATCGGCCTCCTCCGACTCTCATACTGTCAATTCCCATTCCTTACTTATTTTTATATTTTATTCAATAGATACACACATGTGCGCCGCAAGCTTGCACGTATATGAAAAATCAATTCCCGCTATATGTCAGTCGCGTTCTATTCGAAAAACACACAATACGAACAAGAATGAATGGCCGTATCAAGTATCACGGCCCATTACTTCAGTTCAAAACGATTTTAAAAACTAGCACTTTATTAACCTCCTTCCTCGGCGAAGTTCTCCCTCGATTTCAATTTTCGCGAGATCTTTTCGCGAAAGAAAACACATTCAACGTGTTGTGGGCGTATACACTACCGGTATTGACAATGGTACATACACATTTTATGACAAAAAATACTAAATCACATTATACCAAATATCAAGAGACTTCTATTTATCTATTGGCAAACGTAACACGGACGCTAAAACGATTTAGAATCAATGCGGTGCATTCATCATGCTGGAATAACTAACAGTGACGATTGGAGAGACGACTAACCACAGCAAACACACATATGCATTGCACACATGCACGCGTTATGCGCATATATATGCACTAGATCCACGCTTATATTTTACATATACGTAGAACATAACGTGACGAGTTGACTGGCAAACTATCGAATACAAAACAGATATGACTATTAACAGGATATCGCTTTTTTTACTTGTATGAAGTTTTCTCTCATAATGTTACTTTGCAGTGCATCCGGGAATCGGAATTATCGTAAGATAACAAATAATGAATACGTGTATACGCAGTTTATAATTTCGATAATGTAACATTTACTGAGATGATATATACATATATATATTTTTTTTTTCAATTCAAATATTTGGAAAAAGAATTATATTATGTACTGAAGTTAAAAATAATAAAAAATAAATATAATTCTTTCGATCGTTCGACAGTGATAGAAAGAAATATTAATTTTGATGTCAAGAGTTGCAGGATGACATTTCTGAATAAATGTGCGCAGGGATATAAGTTTACATACATTTATTCTGTTCTCTTTATTACATATAATATATGTTTAGTTAACCCTACCATTGAAGAGAATCTATAGCTGAATAGAGTGAAAAATAGCGCGATCACGTAATGAGCTCAAACGCCAAGAGACACTGCATTCACAGAAACTCGGCGTTCAAATCCATCGTAACACGATTCACTGAAAGATTACTGGTTCAAGAAATTGGCGAAACTATTTTCAACTAATCGGATCATATACAACAACATAAAGAAGACCGTACAAGCATGCGAGTCCTGTGAAAGTTAATTCCCTGCCAGTAGTTATATTTTAACACATACGTCCTTCGAGTACAATTTAACTTAATGTCTTTATACGAATTACATTATTTAGCAGTCATTCTCATCCAATTTTTTTTTTTT